TTGAAAGTTTAGATGGTCAGGGAAGTCTTCACTAAGAAGTTAGTTTTTGGACAAAAATGAAAGGATCAAACAATGGTAATATGTAGGGGAAATGCATTTCAGGCAGAGGGAACAGGAGGGGCAAAGGTCCTGAGGCAGCCATGCACACTGGTGGGTTCAGGGACCTGCAAGGAGCCTATTGTGGGTGGAACAGAATGAGCGAGGGACAAAGTACTGAGGTTTATGGATAAAGGCGATATGGCAGCTACATTAGGGCCTCAGAGGAGGGCAAGAACTTTAGCTTCTACTCTGAGTGAGATGAGGAGCCACAGAGAGTTTGAGATGAGCCATGTCATGATCGGGCTGCGTTTAAAGGGATCTTCTGGGCTCCTGAAGTGGAGGAGGGCGGTTATGAAAAATCCAAACTAGAGATAGAGAACAATTAGAGCAACAGAAAAGAGGGAGACAATGACATAAGAAGAAAGGGTAGAATTGCCTTCCTTCATTCATCAGACATTTAAGTGCACTGTTAGGTGCTGGCTGGGAGGACAGAAATGAGTTAGACACAGATTCTGCCCTCACAGGCAATGCCCACGAGGAGATCAAACATATGCAGAAATCACTCCAATACACACAAGAATGCAATGAGCGAGGGGCAAGAGTTCGTCTTGGTTGGCAAAGGGGGTGGGGGTGGTGTGGACTGAAGCAGCAGCCGCAAAAACACAAGCTCCGTGATGGCATGCATCCTGCCCCTGCCAGACGGCCAGATGCCAGCACCTGAAACAGTGCTTGGCCCCGGGACCAGAACATATTTGTTACCCAATGACCGAGCGACTGCCGTGTGCAGATATGTAGGGAGAAGGGCACCGAGCAAACGCAACACCATGAGCAAAACCACAACTATGAAGAGTTACAGTCCAACTTGGCAGAAGCGAATGAGAGGAGTGGAGATGGAGCTGGAGCCACAGAGCAGGGTTAGGTCGCAGCAGGTCCTGTGGAGCCACCAGGACTGTGGCGGCAATAAGAACAGAGGGGCCGCAAGAGCTTCCAGCAGCGGGAGGAGCCCACTGAGCTGGAAGGAGGGTGTGAGCGAGGACCCAGCCCCCCGCGGGGTGGGTGGACCCTAGCCACCGGTTTGGTTGATACTGTGAAAACCTCCAGGAAAGGTGAGGAGGCCTCCGTCAGGCTAGGGCCCTTGGCCCCTTCGCCAGGAGCACTTCCGCTGTCCTGAGTGTCTGTGGACGTGTGTTTATTTGTACGGTGATTGTTTTCATGGTCTATCTGCTTTTCTTCACTAGAAACATTAGTAAGGGTGGAGGACGCCTATCTTCATCCCCCCATTTTCCTTGTTCCCTTCACTCCAGCCATCAAGCACCTGAGGGTTAGCTGCACACAGAGCCAGCAGACAGACACTGTGTCTCAGCCTCTCCTGCAGCTGGATGAGGCCGTGAGAGGAAGGTTTGGCAATGGACGTGAGCCGAAGTGGCCAGTGCACCTTCTGCCACATCCTTTCCTGTCCAGGGAAGCGCTGGCTCTCCTTTCCTGCCTCCCTTCTTGCAGGCGGCTCCTCCCCCTTTCTCTCCTGCAGGACATCCCTGTTGGAGATTATTCCCTTTTGGGACTAGAGACCTTTCTTAGGCCTTTTTCATGACGGGGGAGGGGGGCAGGTGGGGGTGGGGAGAAGAGTGGCTGCAAGGGTCTATCTTTCATTGGCTTTTTCAAAAACAAAAAAGACAGGCCTGTGAATCAATTCTGTCCCGTGGAACGTGAGTGAGATGCAGTACAGTGGTGGGTCATGTTCATACAAGAAAGTTCTCAGCTTCCTCTTGCCCCCTCCCCCAGGGCAGAGATTTGGCCCTGGTGGCGGTGAGCCCACCCTGACCCAGGGCATCCTCCTACAGGATACGAAGCAAGAATACACAAGAGCCCCACGTCCCTGGACCCACCTCGTGGGGAAGGAGGGCCCAGCTTCCCTGGGCTGTGTATGGGCTTGGGCTTGTGTATGTGAGAGAAGCAACTTCCATCGCAGTTACGCTGTCAGCATTTGGTCTCTGTTAACAACAGCCAATCAGTACCTTAACACATTCCTTATAAATACTGACAGTCATGACTATGTGTTGAATGAATATGATTGTCAGTAGAAAAGTCACTATGTAAGTAAACTCATAATAAATATTTTCCCATTCCACTGAGCTTTGAGCATAAAACATTTATAGTGTATTGGAAAATAGTAATATAAAGCTTCAATGGCAGTGAAGTTCTGTATCCTGACCTTGGGCCCGTAACGTAGCTGGCTTTCTCACAGGTAGGTGAGCAGGCACAGCATTCATTCACAGTCTGCTGTTCGGAAGCCCAGACACGCTAAGCTCGCTGTTGGCTCCCGATCCCGGCTGTCACGCCACAAACAAGGCCTTTCCGGGGAAAATGGGCCATAAAGGCTTCGCACTCTGAATGTCACATCACTCTTCTCAGGCAAACATCATCACAGTGTGAGTTTGAGTGTTTTCTGCTGTGGGACGGCTGCCATTGCTGGCTGTTATGCAGAACGCGGCAACCATTTCAAGGAAGTCTGGGAACTACTTGCTATTGAAGAGCAACACTTGACACTGGGGTTTAAAACATTTACAGCTACACGTATTATTATTTTGTAAACAAGTTTGTGTCTTCGTATTTAAATTTGGACTTTAAATAAGGATGTCTGCTGGCACAGCCCAGCTGATCAAACGTGCTTATGGTCAGGTTCATGTGCTCCCATCACTGCAGCACCGTCCAGGAATCCACAGGAGGCACCCAGAGCACCCCGGGCAGAGGCCTGTGTGTGTTCTGTGGAAAAGCACTGGAATGCTGACATTCAATTAGCCAAGTGCTGGAAATAAGGAACTGAAGGCAAGGCTTCACACTAGGAAAATGGTGTGGGAGTGGGCTTTTAGAACAAGGAATTGTAATTAAGCTGGACACAGGCCTATTATTTTCTGAGTAAAGATAAACCTCAAAAAGAGAGGGCCATTTTGACTTTATAATGACAAAAGGTCTATACTGTTGGAAACAGAAACATGGACATGTAAATACTGAATATGAAAAAATACTATTTCCTATACCACTGAAGTTGTTTTGTATAAACAGGATTGTCTATCTTTCTTTGATCAAGACCTTATTATTGCTGTTGTTGGTGGTTTTCCTTGGAGTAGTAAGTCCAGGGGCTTTTCTTGCTGATCCTAAATTCCCAGAACTGTGTGTAACAACTTATTAGCTTAACTTAAAAGGAAAGTGTTGATTAAAGGAATAAGTGAATGGCTGAATAACGTTTGCATCCAATAGTGATGATTTCCACTAAATCAAGTGAAACAATTACCCAACCTGTTTTGAAGATCCCAGTAGAAAAACACATATTAAACAAAGAGATTTTCTTTTAAAAATATGAAAACAGGATAATTTCTGTCAAATAAGTTGCTTATAAAGAAGGCTGCTTCATAATCAAGTTGTTTTTTTTTTCTTTTTGAGTCTAAGTACACTTATTACATTTGGCAATACTGAAATACTTGATTTTCCAGAACTATGACTTTAAAGCCTTTTAAAAAGTAAACATGATTATGAACATGAGTTTACAACAACAGAGAAAGAATCTGACCGATATTTTTTAGGTCTGTGAGAAAATATAACATTGAAAAAATCACTAGGATTATAATCACGAGCTCGAACAGTGATGGTTTTTGGTGTTTGCTCATCAGTGGTCATCTTGGCTCCCATGACCACCTATTCACATGAAATACACAAAGGACTGAAGCTACAACTAGCGGGAGTTTTCGTCTATTTTCAATGATTTTTAACTATTGTAAATCAACTGAC